TAATGGGAAGTGGAAACATCTAGGAATAATAAAATAATAGCCCAGTCACGAAATGATAGACCATGTATACTCATATTGTGGGGAAGGTTGGCCTGCGTTGAAATCACCAGTCTAAAAAACAGTACCTGGTAAAATACATAGTGTCTACTGTAAAGTTTGGTGGAGGAGTTAGGCCCCTTAAGGTCATCCTAATGCTACAGATTACAAAGACATATTAGACACTTGGGTGTTTTCCACTGTGTAGCAACAGTCTAGGGAAAGTCCTTTCCAGTTGTCCCTGAATACATGGTTTAATGAGTTTAGTGTGGAACGCCTTTTGGATAAATTGGAGGGGCAACTGAGAGACATCCCATCTCTTCCAACATCAATGCCTATTCTCACAAATGTTATGATGGCTGAATGGGCACAAATTTCCACAGACTTAATCCAAACTCTTGTGAAAAGCCTCCCCATAAGAGTTGCAGCTGTTACAGTCTTGAAAGGCAGTGGATTACAGCTGCATATTAATGCCCACAGTTTTGAAACAGGATGTCCAAAAAGCTCATATTGGTGTGATGGTCAGGTGTCCACATACATTTGGTCATACAGTGTACAGTTGTGGTTAAAAGTTTGCATACCCTGACAGAAATTGTGAAATTTTGGCATTGATTTAGAAAATAAGCAGCTATACCACCTGCAAGAATTAGTTGCATCATAGACAACTATTTCAAAAGACTGCACACTGTCATTGATGCTAAAGGGGGCAGTACACAGTATTAAGCACTAAGGGTATCCAGACTTTTGACAGAGGTCATTTCATTTTATTTATCTGTTGCCATGTTTGTTTTATGAAATAAAAGAAATGTGTTTGCCTGCTCACTCATGTTTTCTTTAAAAATGGTACATATATAACCAATTCTCCAAGGGTATGCATACTTTTGAGCACAACTGTATATTACTTAATTTATATCAATAATGTTAAAAAGTGTTAAGGAAGAATAAACATGCATAGGATGACACAAGTAGATAAGGAGAACACTGGAGAACAAGTACTGAGGTTATGCAACACAACCCTGAGCACCAAGATGAAGAGATGGCCAGAATGTACTCAAGGGCATGCTGTACGTTGGCAGTTTTAACATCCATGGATCATGGATCCATATTGCTGCACCAGCTATATATATTTATATTTCAATTGCAAAGACTAATTATTGACAAAATTAATACCAACAGAGTTGGGCAACTTAAAACTATAACAAAAGAGAAATCACTGTGTTTTGTTTTTTAGGTTTTTTTTGTAAATAGAAAAAACATTAGTTAGATTTCTATGTTACATGATATTAACATAATATTAACTATTCCTTAATGCACAACTGCCCTTTCCTGAACAGAAACAAAAAACAAAGAAACTAAAACTGAAATATATATGCAGCATATTTAATACAAATACCAACATTGGGTGTTACAGATGTCTGGATTGTACCACCTGGAACCATGTTACTCCAGGCAAATATTTTCATCAGCCACATTCTGGCAAAAAATACAAACAGATATGTCACCCTATAGGATTACATCACCATATTAAGATTTTTTTTTCTAGAGATAGAATTATTCCTATACCAAATATTTTTTAATTTGCTGTAGGTTTGTAGGCCAAGGAGAATGTAATTAATTGTTTTGTGTTGGCATCTTTCTGAGGTGGAAGACGTTTGAGGTGCGTTAGCATATGTTATGAGTATTGGAAGTTAGCAGCTATTGTTTTTTTCAGTGGTAATCCTGCACTTAAAAGGACACTATAGGCACTATAATCTTTTCAACTCATTGAATTGTTTATAGTTCCTGGAGTCCCTCTCATAAGTTTTAAACCATTTTCAGCAGTTTAACACTGAATGAGGTTCCCTGATTTCCCATAGCTCTGCCCTTAGTGGAGGTATGGCCAAGGCAGGCATTACATACTGCTTTGTAGCCATAATAATTCATAGCTGCAATTGCACTGTGATAGGCTAAATGCAGTCATCTGACACTCTCAGCGAATTACATCCTCCTATTACCGCACAGTCTTTTTTTTTTTTTGTGGTATAAAAGCAATACTTTATTATAAATTTTCCGTAACAAAGAAACATTAAAAAGCAGAGCTTAATTTTGACCAGTTGAGCAGAACCCACCAGCGCCACGCTCCGTGTCATCTAAAACGTTGACCTCATCAAGATCAGGATATACAATCCTCTCACATATTAACTGAGCCACTCTGTCCCCTTTTTTCCACTACAGAAGGTTCTTTACCAAAGTTAAATAATACAACCCCAACATTTCCTCTGTAGTCCTCATCCACCACACCAGCTCCAACATCAATGAAATACTTAGCAGCCAAACCTGATCGGGGAGCTACTCTTCCATAACAACCAGTGGGAACACATATTTGGATATCCGTTTTCGCCACAGCTTTGTCCATGGCAGGTATTAAATAATCACTGTACAGGTCAGAGCCAGTGGCCTTAACTGAGCCCCTGGTGGGGGTGAAGGCATGGTCTGTCAGCTTGGCAAAGCGCAGTTTGGGGGCTCCCCTCTGTCCCAGGGCAGGGTCATCCTCTGTCCTGCTGTAGCCCCTGGTTAATGCCGAGGGCCGAGGGCCTCGGTAGGGGGTGAGGGAGAGTAATTTGTGGCAGCAGAGCCGAGACCGGGTAACAGCAGAGAAGCTCAGAGCGGCAGCCATAGTCTGACAAGGAGAATACAGCTCTGTCCTATTACTGCACAGTCTAATGCTCCCTCATTAGCCCAAGCAGCACAGAGGGGATGGGTTGCGGGGAACTCTTGTTTAGCATTAAAACAAAAACAAAAAATCTACTTAATGCTAAATGGAAGTACAGTGCGTAGGGCAGACACTATAACCACTTCTATGAGATGAAGCATTTATGGTGCCTAAAGTATACCTTTAAATGCATGCGAGTGAAGATGTAAAAAATACTGGTTAAGTATAAATATAGAAAAAAAATGTTTTTTTTTTTTTTATAACTACTCTAAAATAATCATGAGGACACATGCAGTTTGGAGTTACAAAAAAATCATAATTTGGTAGAGGTAAGTTATTACTTTCTTTATTTACATACGCATTGTTGAACTCTCAGTCAAGGCAATTTATTATTATGAAGAAGAAAAAGGTCATTTAAGTATTTAACGGATTTGTTTTTCAAGAAATATCAGATAATATCAGAATATTGTACTGAAACTGCTATAATATTTTGTTAGTCAAAGTCAGTTAGAGTTAGGTCATTTACAATGTACATATTGTTGGGTGACAAAACCTTTATAAATGTCTCCATTTTTTTTTCAGCTTTTATGGAGTCCAGAGAGAAAAGATCCAAAATTGACTGACTGTAACTCAATATCTTTCTTCTGCATTCACTGGTATCAACTGGAAGAGACTTACATCATGCCTATCAGGAGAATTGAGACTTTTTAAAAAACATTTAAATGCTGAGAAGATCGCTCATGTAAAGCAAGGCGCAGACATATCAACTGTTCTGAAATAGGATGTTGAAATTTAACTATATCCTTGTTTTGCAAAAATTGACAATTAACATTTATCTACAGCCGACGCAATTAATATAAACCTTTTTTCAAGGTATTTAGAAACTGTCAATTCACATGCATGTATTCATAATGAATATTGTAAACTATGATCTGCATATTCAGTTTTTCCCACAATACCAAAATCAAGAATCTAAAAAAGAATTTTTTAGAAGGCATAAGACTTCCCATATAGGACTACTTAGTTTAAATATTCAATTCAACATTCAAGAGCAGTACCTGTTTATTAATTTGTCTACTATAATAAGGTTTGGGTTTATTCATTTGGTGAAATAAATGTGCGAAAATACTTTTGGTTTATTTGTAAGAGTGGCTTGGTCCACTAAATTAGCAAATTAGTTTCAACCTGTGAGTGAGTGCTTACGTCATTGATTAGAGCTCCCAAGTAAGTAACTTGATCGTATTACTATAGTAACCATGATAAAGATGAAATAGGGAAGGCTTTAGAATAATGTATTGCCCATAGCCAAAGTTTATAAAATGCACAAAAATGTTACCTTCTCAAAATTGTAAACTAGTTCAAGCAGGTACCTAAATCTCTTGCTTCCCCTTAACATTTTAAATAGTGTGTCTCTTACTTGCTGTTATATTCCCACATCAATATGTAAAGTGCTGAAGAAAATGTTGGCACTATACACATACCGATAATAGCAAAAAAAATTGATGTTATAAATTGTGATATGATTTGTTCAATTTGCCTGTTTGGAGTGCAAATAAACTCTTAAAAATAATACTTAATTGTTTGTATATACATGGCTCAAAATGTAAGGTCCTATGCTAGAAATCTTGCTCGAATTATGTGCACAACTGCTAACTTCCTCTTTTAATGTCACCTCTGCAAATTGATAAGGCAGACGCCCAATCAGTCAACCTGTTCCCAAATGACTCACTTAACATCTGAGAATTCCTTCGATGTTGGTGCAATTAGTAGTTACAGAGTGCCTAGGGACTCCACAATATTTGTAGTTTTTACAATTATGCCACAAAGACATTAGGAAAACAATTAAAACAGAAGGAAAATAAATGTTACATTTGCAAGAAATTTGGCTAGCACAACATATAGACACAATTGTAATAATATGGTAGACTGGGATATTTGTTTTATTACAAACAGCAATTGGTCCAAATTCCCAAAAGAGTGAATATGTAGCCGAATCACGAACCAAACAACTCAATCAATATATGAGCATGTCCATTTTAATACGTGATTTGGAATTCCACCCATGGCACCAAAAAACATGAATTATAGGGAAAAAAGTATTGATGGCTAGAGGACATTCCATAAATGTTGATTTTATTCACATATCAAGTGAGAAGAGAGAAATACAAGGAAATAAAAGAGGGGCAGTAAACAAACAAACAAACAAAAAATTATATATATATGGGTATATATAGTAGATTGGATTAGCCGTATTAGTCCAGTAGACAAGATGCTGCAATACTCTGGTATTTTGATATCTTTTTATATATACATCTCAAATATTTAATATAATATTTTTAGGCGCCCTGTGCGAAAAAATTTCACAGCGCCCCTCCCTGGTCACACCTCCTCATCCGTGTATAGTGCATGTTTAGGGGCTTTATTAAATTAATAGTTATTAAAAAAAAGATTAAAGGGAAACTATAGTCACCATAACGACTTTAGCTCACTGAAGCAGTTTTTGGATATAGATCTAGCCTCTGAATTTTTTTCTGCTCATTTATCTGCCATTTAGGAGTTAAATCACTTTTTGTATCTGTTTATGCAGCCCTAGTCACACCTCCCCTGGCTGTGACTGACACAGCCTGCATGAAAACAACAAGATTTAATTTTCAATCAGATGTAACTTACTTTTAAAGTTTTTATCTCCTGCTCTGTAAATGGAACTTTAATCACACACAGGAGACTCCTGCATGCTATTAACAGAGCAGGAGATAAGAAATTTAAGAAGTTTAAGTGTAAACATTAGATGACTGTTTACAGGAAGTATTTAGAAAGGCTGTGTAAGTCACATGCAGAGAGGTGTGCCTACGGCTGCATAAAAACAGTGATTTAACTTCTAAATAGGAGAGAATTGAGCAGTGAGACTTCAGGAGCATGATCTGTACACCAGAATTGCTTCATTAAGCTAATGATGTTTTGGTGATTATAGTGTCCCTTTAGGTTGTTACCTTTGCATGGAGGGTGGCATGCTGATCTCTGGTGGTCGAATGTGCTCGGAAAATAGTCTGCATCTCTGCCAGGTGCAGACCATGAGTAACTGTCTCACAAGCTCAGGCACAGTGCTATGGTAATCTGCTACGATGTTCTGATTAGACAGAGCTTGGGAGACAGATATTCATGGTCTGCAGCCAACAAAGGTACAGGCCAGAGGTGCCAGACTTTAACTCCAGCATTGCAGAGGAGCAGACTAAGTATTGTGTGCCACTCTCACATTATACTGTGAGTCTTTTTGCTTTGGAGCGCTGGATTTTCCATATTTATCTTGACCTCCTTGGTATGAAACCTAACAGCAATGCACTTTGTGTGTCCATTTACCACTGAGCTCTACAGCAAAAAAAAAAAAAAAGCGCCTCACAGCACTTAGTGGTATGCACCAGTTTATCACAGAAACATAGAATTTGATGACTGATAAGAACTTTTTGGCCTACCTAGTCTGCCCAAAGGACAGTGTGTGAGTATGTCACAGAGCTCCACAACAATACAACTCTGAGTAATGTGCTTATTAGCCTATCACAGAGCTCCCTAATTATAAAACGCAGAGTAATATATATTTTGTATGACTATCACTGTAATAAATCTAACAATAAAAAAATGTAATATGTTTATGAGTGTGTTGTCTGTGTGTGACAGGTGTGGTGGCTATGCGTGATATGTATGCTATGTGTTGGCTGTGTGTGATATTTGTAATGGGTGTATTGATTATGTGTGATGTATGTGTGTATTGATGGTGCTATCACTGTTATGTTAATTCAGATTTTAACAAATGCGTGTAGGCCCAAGTGTTAATGCAGATGTGTATTTTTTGCATTCACATGCACACAGTCCCACAGTCAGACACAGTTAGATGCACACAGTTATACACATACAATGTCAAATGCAGCCACATGCATACAGCTCCAAGCACATAGTCACACACACAATATACAAGCAGCCACACACAGTCATAGTTAGACAGTCACATTCAATTGAAGGCAGCCAGTCACACACACACCCACACTGTTGCAGGCAGGCTGTCACGCACACAGTTATGGAGAGTCACATACACAGTTACAGACAGACACATACACACAAAGCTACAAGTAGGCAGTCACACACACAGTTATAGACAGACACACACATACACATGGTTACAGGCAGACAGTCACGTGCACATTTACAGCCAGACACACATATATACACATGGTTACAGCCAGACACACATATATACACATGGTTACAGGCAGACACACACTCATACACATGGTTACAGGCAGGCAGTCACACACATAGTTACAGAAATACACAGACACATACAGTCACAAACACAGTTACAGACACACACATACACATGGTTACAGGCAGACAGTCACGTGCACATTTACAGCCAGACACACATATATACACATGGTTACAGGAAGACACACACTCATACACATGGTTACAGGCAGGCAGTCACACACATAGTTACAGAAATACACAGACACATACAGTCACAAACACAGTTACAGACACACACATACACATGGTTACAGGCAGACAGTCACGTGCACATTTACAGCCAGACACACATATATACACATGGTTACAGGAAGACACACACTCATACACATGGTTACAGGCAGGCAGTCACACACATAGTTACAGAAATACACAGACACATACAGTCACAAACACAGTTACAGACACACACATACACATGATTACAGGCAGACAGTCACACACACACACAGTTACAGTCACACACACACACACACATACACATGGTGACAGACAGTCACACACACACACACACACTAACCTCTTTCTATTATGGGCACTAGTGGAGGAGTGGAGGCACTACAATCCCTGGAGTCTACCAATGCCTGTATTCTAGTTTACTAGAGGGAGGGTAAAAGATGAACCATGAGCACACTGAGTATGTTACACTGATTGATTGCAATAGCAACATGCTATGGACAGTGTAGTATAGATGTAGTATAGATGCTTGGCAATTTTTAGGCGTGTTTTTTTCACACTTGCTATATATGACAAAATTGTATTTCTATTACTATGCTAACATATCAGACTCTTTCAAACTATTTCAACATAAGGGATATATACTAATCTTTAGATTGATTCACACACCTCACTACCCATTATCAACCATTATCTACCAAGATCAATAAATAAATGAACATTATAATGGTTGAAACTTACATTATTTAGCTAACTATGGATTATCTCCATCAGCATTTCAGGAAAGATAAGCAAAAGTATAATCACACTTAGGGAAATGACAATCTCATTTCACATTATTTACCTCAGTATGCTGCAGTATTCAAGCAGTGGGTTCTGTCTTTAGCCCCGCCCCTTCTGACCATTAGCCCCAACCCACTTGTCAATTAGCTCCACCTCCCTGTCTAGTATGGTTATTGCATAATGTCATAAGATCCGCCAACTACACTCCGATTGGTGCAGTGGCTCCAAGCTTTAGAAGCTCTGCCACTGCGCTGCTGGCCTGCACGAGAACGAGAACTAACAAGTGAATGCTCTCCTTCCCGTGGAGGCACTACCCTGAACCACCAATGGAATGCTGTGTAGCCAGCCACAGCTTCCACCATAGAGCAGGGGCAAATGCAGAGTAGATTTTGTGTGGCAGCTGTGTTGGCAGACTGGCGGCTCTGCTGCCGTGGCGCCCTGTGTGGCCGCACAGTTCGCACACTACAAGCTATATATATATATATATACAGTATCTCACAAAAGTGAGTACACCCCTCACATTTTTGTAAATATTTTATTATATCTTTTCATGTGACAACACTGAAGAAATGACACTCTGCTACAATGTAAAGTAGTAAGTGTACAGCCTGTATAACAGTGTAAATTTGCTGTCCCCTCAAAATAACACACTGCCATTAATGTCTAAACCATTGGCAACAAAAGTGAGTACACCCCTAAGTGGAAGTGTCCCCTGAAATTGAATTAGTGTTAATATTTGTTTGTGTGTGAAAAATTTAAAAAAATAATTTGAACGCCAATTTTGGTCAACGTGTGTGACTAAGTGGCGACTAAAAAAGACTGGACATACCCCATTTGCAATACCTTGGGTTGTCTACTATTGCAAATAGTATTCCATTATGGGGGTAATTTTCATTCGTGAGTTACCATACGGCAATAGATACATAAATTATTTTGTTCTACGTGGATTTTGATATCAACTGTATATATTTTAATTATTTATTATTCTTATTTTTCAACGTATTTACATATTTATTTATTTTATAAAGCATAGAAGTAAATCAACAACAGAATGGCTTAAACAGAAGAAAATACGCCTTCTGAAGTGTCCTGACCTCAACCCGATTGAGATTCTGTGGCATGACCTCAAGAAAGCGATTCACACCAGACATCCCAAGAATATTGCTGAACTGAAACAGTTCTGTAAAGAGGAATGGTCACAAATTACTCCTGACCATTGTGCACGTCTGATCTGCAACTACAGGAAATGTTTGGTTGAAGTTATTGCTGCCAAAGGAGGTTCAACCAGTTATTAAATCCAAGGGTTCACATACCTTTTCCACCTGCAATGTGAATGTTTACATAGTGTGTTCAATAAAAACATGGCAACATTTCATTCTTTGTTTGTTATTAGTTTAAGCAGACTGTGATTGTCTATTGTTGTGACTTAGATGATGATCAGATCACATTTTATGACCAATTTGTGCAGAAATCCATATCATTCCAAAGGGTTCACATATTTTTTCTTGCAACTGTATATATTTTAATTTATTTATTATTTTTATTTTTCAACGTATTTACATATTTATTTATTTAATATTAGGCTGCTAGAGTAGGACCTGCCAAGAATGGGGTACATTGACGTTGTGGCAGGCTTATGCAATAAGTGATCATATAATGTAACCAAACCCACATTATTTTTTGCCTAGGTGAGGTGTTCTTAAATAAAACTATTACAGTCTCTAAGATTTGAAATCATTGTTTATTGAATAAGCGAGTGCGCTGGATTCTGTATTTTGTATATTTTGGCCCCAGCAGCACCCTATAATGTATGCATGTTCAGGTGAGTGCAGCCCTCTTGGTTTCTTTTATATATTTGGGAGTCCAGGCCAACTCCTTGGTTTTGCACCCCTCCCTGTCATAGGTGCCTCATTCCAGGACCTTATTTAGCCTTGACTTGCAGAGAGTTCCAGTAAGGAGGTATTTCCCAATTAAGTGGATGAATCTCATAAGAGCAAGCATTAGGCTGCTAGAGTAGGACCTGCCAAGAATGGGGTACATTGACGCTGTGGTAGGCTTATGCAATATATGATCATATAATGTAACTAAACCCCCATTATTTTTTGCCTAGGTGAGGTGTTTTTAAATAAATGCTCAGAGGTGGGGGCCATGTGGGACATGATAGGTTCTCCGCATTGACACCCAGGGCAATAGGTCCCCCCTTCAGTTTAAAAGCCCCCATTCGTGCAGAACGGGTGGGGGCTCGGGAGAGACACTTGGGGTTTTTATTTTGTTTGGTTTTTAACAATGAGCAGCCACAGGCTGCTCACTGTTTACTAGACATGCCCCTACTCACGGGGGCATACCCCCCCCCCCCCATGTACAAGTTTAATGGTGTTTTGGAAAGTCGCAGGGTTAAATATAGGGTTTGCAAAACAAATTCCCTGGACTTCCTGCCTGAATTGTCAGGCAGGTCACTCAAA